GGCTGTCTGGAAAGTCAAGACATATTTTTCTGTTTTTCTATGCAAAAATAGATCATGATTTTCCTGACAAACCAATTTATCTTCAATCTAAAAAAAATCTCCAAAATATCTTAAAATTTATTATTATTTTTTCAATAGAGCATGTCTTGATCCTCCTGCCTTAGTCTCCCCAAGTCACTGGGATTACAGGTGCACACTCCTCCCACCTTTGAATTGGACTAGGAATCAAACCTGGACCTCTCTTATGGTCCAGTGTGCAGAGCACATCTTCATGGTGAACTCAACTACAGCTGGGCCAAATCATAAACTTCATTAAGTATGTTGCTGATATTAGGTTGTTGGAAAAATCATGACATATTTTTCTATGCAAAAATGCATCTTGACTTTGCCAACAATTCTGTGTATAGCAGTTCTGACACAAAGTTGAGTGTAATGTAGAATTAAGCTAATGAAGGCCAACCCCATGGCCTAGTGTTTACAGGAGCTAAATAGCATATGGCCAACAATACAGTTCAAATCCTTGCCCAGAGGCTTGAAAAATATTCTGGGTGCATGTGTGTGTATGTCCCAAATCCTGACAGAGAAATGGAGAATGGATTGTTGTGTGACCATGCCCTATTCAGGAGTGTTTTTCCCTATCTTCCTCTTTCTCTGTCTCTCTCTGGTAAACACGTATGCCCTCTGGCTTATAAATACCCCCCCCACCTGCAAAAAAAAAAAGATTTAAGCTAATGAGTAAATTTACTTATAATGCTGGTAAACAGAATTCTCATGATAGAAGAAAAGTCTAATAACGAATGAAGGTGGGGAAGAACACTCTCAGTTGTACTAGGATTTGAGGTATCAAGAAAAAAATAATAGAAAAAATATTCCATTATATATTGTCTGTTGAAATTTCACCCTAGTAATAATAAACAAATCTGCTTTCCAAATTTTAGTTTCCAAATACAATTACCTACTAAAAGGAGCTCTTTTTTTTTTTTTTTTGGAGAGGTTTTTGCTATAGGGCACATGCGCTCGCCAGAAAGTCTAAGAGAGACAGAAAGCGAGAAATCACCCTCCCCCAGGGGGGATGACCACGCTGCAATCCCTTCTCCTCCATTCTCCTCTCAGAATCTTGGGCACACATGCACACCTGCCTGATGTGAGTTTAAGCCACCAGGTCTGGGACTCAAACCAAGGTCGACTCCATGGGAGTCCAGCAACATAGCCATTATGCTAATTGCTGGTCCCAGGACTAGAGCTCTTTTGAAATAGCTGATTCCAAGGCTGTGGCAGGAAAAGAAAAAAGTAAAATAAGCAAAGAATTTGGAATACGTTAAACAACAGAACCTGACTTTTACAGACTTAGCATGTACAGACTCACCTCTATTTAACTGACTACAAATTTCCAATACAAAATAGCTATCTGACATTGGATATATATCCTAACATCCCACCAAGTTTAAATTCTAAAATAAAAAATACAGGACAAACTCAAAAGATCTGTTGTATTTAAATGATGCAAAGTCATTAAGGTACCAAATACGTTGTTTTACATATAATGTGCATTTAATACATGTTTGTCTACTATTTTTTATTTATTTTTTACCTTTACAACCCATTGATCTCAACCAATAATCCTTCCTGTGACTTCAATATAGCTACCCTTACCTAGGTTTAGAGGCTGTCAATCTGATTAGAATATTTCACTACAAGAATAAAAGTATATTTCTCTTGCATCCTATCACCCATGTTAAAAATACTACTACTCGGGACCAGCAGTTAGCATAATGGAAGAGAAGGGATTGCGGCGTGGCTATCTCCCCTGGGAGGTGATTTCTCTCTGTCTCTCTCTGGCTTTCTGGAGAGCACAGGCGCCCTATAGCAAAAATCTCTCCCTCCCCCCCCAAAAAAAAAGAAAGAAAGAAAAGAAATACTACTCCTCTATGGGCCAGCAGGTGGCATGGTGGTTAGGGTGGCTGAATCCCACATGGCTGACTGTGCAATTTGAGTCCCACACCTAATGGCTTGAAAAATGTGCCAGGCACATGTGCTTGAACGTCTAAAATCCCAAAAAGGAGGAAAAATAGAGGAGAAGGATTGTAGTGTGGTGATCCCATCTGGAGTGGGTGGTCAGGTTCTTGGTGGGTTGCTTGCTTGCTCGCTTGCTCTCTCTCTCTCTACCCCCCTTCTTTCTCTTGCTGTCTCCAGCAAGCATGCATGCCCTATAGCAAAATGTTAAACAAAAATGAAAAGAAAGAAAATAAATCCTACCACTTGAAAAGATAATAGCACATTCATCATAATATTGTAGTTTTCTAAATTTAGGCTGCATAGGTATTTCAAGGCTATATGTGGTATTTCCAGCAACTTAAGTGAAAATTTTCAAACAAGGTGAAAATATTTTGATGCGAAGGGATATGTTTATCACGGCTAGAAATAGACATATGAGAGGACTAATCATTTGGACCTTTAAGTTTTGGGATTCCATAAGCACCTCTTAGGGCAGCATTTTGTGTTTTCCCGTTCTTGCTTGCATAAATCTAGGAACACTTTTCTGACTCCAGTTCCCACAATCTCTCCATGTATTGAAGTATTCATCAATTCAGCAAATATTTTTTGAGCATCTAACATGTGTCAGGCACCCTGTTATATACCAGAGACACACAGTGGAAAATAAACAGAGATGCAGTCTCTGTGCCTCACAGAAATTACAGTACATCTGGAGATACAGATAAGTGTACAGAAGACTGCAATACAGTAAGAGGTTGTGAAAACAAAAGGATGTGATGCACATTACAGGGGCAAATATTCTAGACATCGCAAACTGGAAGCCCTTGGAGGAATTTAAGTAGGTGAATAAAATGATTAGATGTATAATTTTGAGTGATTATTCTGTGTATGCTGTGGAAAATATAATAGGAAGGGAACAAGAAATTCAAGGATAGTTTCCCACAGAGTCACATATGAATGAGAGCACTAGATGTAACAACAATAATATGAGATTTTTAAATAGCATCTAATAAGAATGTAATATCCATTTTTGTAGGTGCAATGTGCATTATATTCATGATCTCAATTCCCAAAGCAAACAGAAATAAGTATTGCCTTTAGCCCTTGCTCTTTCTAATTTTATAGATGAGGAAATTAAGGCTCACAGTAGTTAAGTAAAGTGCTCAGTGGAACAGAGGTTTAGATAGAAAGAATTCAAATCAGGTTGTCTTGAATCACAATGATATATTATTACTGACACCTCTTCCCACAAAATTCATTTGAACTCTGTTCACACATGTTGAATTTTCAAAGATTGTTCTTATGAATGGACTTTATCTCACATTACATCAGTAAAGGAGAGAGCCTTGACTCTAAAGAAAAAACCTCAATTCCAGGGGTCTAAAATGAATTCCTTTAATTAAGGGTTTATTTCATATAAACCTATTAAAATGAAATACATAGAAACATACTTTAAATATGTGTGCATTTGTCAATAACTACCTGATCCTTTTCCACACTCTTTATTAAAACCAGGTGATTTGGCTTGTCCCCTCTTGTTCTATGAAAACTATATGGGACTACTTCCTTAGGAAGTTATGGGCATCACATTACAGTCAGTTTTCTTACTTTTCTCCTTTTTTCAGGACTATTGCCACCTATGCTCTATGATTTAGCATATACAAGATAAAGAAAGAGAATATTCTCTCCACCTCGTTGAATTTCATTTCAATGAAATTTCCTAATCTTGCTTTCAAGGAAATGTTCATTGTCCTATTCTAGGTCTCTTTTTTTTTTTTTTTTTTGGAGAGATTTTCACTGTAGGGCGCGTGCGCTCGCCAGACAGACAGAGAGAGACATAGAGACAGAAAGCGAGAAATCACCCCCCAGGGGGGATGGTCACGCCGCAATCCCTTCTCCTCCATTCTCCTCTTGGGATCCTGGGCACGCACGCACACGCGCCCGGCGTGAGTTTTAAGCCACCAGGTCCGGGACACGAACCGCGGTCGACTACGTGGGAGTCCAGCGACATAGCCATTACGCTAACTGCTGGTTCCCTTCTAGGTCTCTTTTCAGGGCCAAATTTCACTTCTGTATTCTGAAGTTTATCATTTAGCAACTGGGAATAAGTTTAATGAAAAAAGCTCACCTACTTTTTTCATGTTTAATATTTGGTATGCGTAGTACATATATATTCTTATTTATTTATTTATTTTTATTCAAGGGGGAAAGAGAGATAGAAATAAGAGAAGTCCCCTTGACAGGGTCTGGTCATGCCACAATACCTATTCTTCAGCCTATCAAGATCTTATGCTCTGGTGGCTGGAGCTCAGTTACAACAGACTGGGAATCTGAACCATGGTTGACTATGTGATTTATGGCACTGTAATCTGTATGGTACTGACTTTGCCACCAGGCTGGACCGGTATTACATATATATTGATGACAGAGCATCCCATTTTATCTTCCCAAGTACAATACTAAGAGATTCTAATAATACCTTATTGGCAAAGGTTAGCTACTACAAAGAAATGCAAGGAACAAAGACAGAGTAAAAGACAATTAAGGGATAATATTGATGTGACAGCTGATATCTTAGTAAATTATCAACACATCTAGATAAAATATAAAATATTAATATGTTTCATGGCTTATATTCTTATCATATCTCATTATATAGTTCATGGTTTACATTTCCATTACATATCATTGAATGAGAGAAATTCAATATACGTCTTTGACTGATGTCATTAATAAAAAGTTGTCAGAAATAGTCAAAAAATGATTAATAAAAACATTATTGATTAGTTTACATGGCCAATTTAAAAGAAAAAAGTATTGAATTTTGATTATGCTAAGTATTAGTTCATATATTACTAGAATTGTATATTTTTCTTTAAACTAGATGAAAAATCTATAAAATACCATTTTGATAATAGAGAATACAGAAATGCAAATTACTGGAGACTTATCACTGATTTTCTTATCTTATTATTTTAATATTAAAACGACAAAATAAAACTTACCTCAGTTTTTTTCTAACTAAGAAACCACGTATCCATCTTTGAACAATCAGAACTGGTGAATTATGAGCCAGAATTTCATTAATTTTTGAAATAATATCTTTAATATTATTAATGTCATCCTCATAAGTTGTTCCCTGAATAAAGAAAATATATTCAATAATTTTTATCTTCCATGAAGGGATTTCCAAAAGACAGTTTAAACTTGAAAACCTGATAAAAAAACTAATAAAACTTGCAGAGATGTCTTATTAGCATTATAGTTAAATAATAAAAACATTTTCATGTCAACTTTATTAGAATAAAAGCTCAAAAATTAGTAGCATAAAATAGCTTTAATTCTCTGCACAAAATGCAAGATTTTTGATGATAACATTCACCCAAGATTCTTCTTCCAATGTGATACTTATAAAGTTTTGACCATAATCATCCTGCTCTCAAAGATAGTGGCATGGATATATGTCCAGGAAAACTTTAAAAGTACTCTGTTTCCCCATAAAGAAAATTCCTATGTGTTGGACTCATAACTCAGTTACAGTAACTCAAAATTTCATTGTAGAATGACTAGAATGTTGGATATTTTTGTTGGAATACAGTACATTTTCTTGAGAAAGATATTCTATTTGCCTTAAAGAAAGATCTCTCTTCATGCAAATTAATAGATTTAGGATCATTGATTCAGTATATCTCATTGATCCCTTGACTGGTGAAAAATGTCACTTTATGTTTTGATTGCAGGATAATACATTAAACAATTGACATTTACATTGTTTGTAAGGCACCTATTCTGAAGATTACCAATCCTACAACATTCAAAACACACACTGTCTTGTCTATACAATCTTCTATGTACCACCAGAAACAAAAAGTCACAGAAGCTCTGCAGATTAGTACTACTTCCGATTTATACTTTCAAACTCTAATTGCTGATTAGCAAATATTTTACTTAGTCCTGGATTGCTTCCACTCACAACAGTAGCTACCTTTGATATTATTCAATACTACCCAAGCCTTTTCCTAGAGCTTTTTAAACATTATGCTTCCTATTTCACAGAGAAAACAGGGCTATCAAGTCTGAACTCCCACTAATAATCCCCCTCTCCCACTACTGGCACTATTCCTTCATTTAAAAATATGATATAACCTCACCTATATTTAAAATGTTCACATAGGCCAAACCTCTGTGGCACAGTAGATAGCATACCAGGCTGAGGAGCTAGAAGCCACATATCAACTACAGTTCTAGTCCCTGGCCTAGTTAGTCTGACATATGTTGAGAGCATGTACACTCCAGATTCTAGAGGGATTGGTGTAATCAAGTCCTGAGGGGGGGTACTTCTCTTTCTCCTGTGCATGTATCTTCCTTGCTATATCTTACTGCATTCCCATATGCAGATGATTCACATAACTATAATTCTTGTCAGAAATTATCTCTTATAGATGCATAAAATGAACTTCTAGTTCCTTCTCTACTTACAAGTTAAAAACTGAAATAATCTCCCTCCTTCAAACTAATCCAAACTTCATATTGCATTTTACCTACATAGTCATTAAAACTATTCGTCTTGTCAATCAAATAAATCCATTTCCATATAATAAATCACTAAATTCTATCAAATAAAAATCTCTTCAATCTGTTCCTTATGCATTATACCTTCTATTAATGTATTAAATCAACTCATATAAGCTAAGGTCCAAATTATTGTAATAGACTACTCACTAAAGCTAAATCCCCTACATGAAATTTCCCTCCACTCCAAAATTACAGAACACAGCATAAATTTTCTGACATAACAATTGGGTCACATAAAAGTCTTAAATATTTCTCCCACAGTCCTACAAGAAAAAGTCCTATTTCTTTAGTACTACATGTAATATCCTTTGCTATTAATATCCTGTTTCTATCTCCGGCATTGTTTGACAGGCTCAAACATGACCTCTAAACTCTAAAAACACTAAACTATTTGTCACTTGAATGTGTCAAGCTCTATCAATTTCTCTGTGCCTTTGCAAATGCCTTCTACTGTGACTCATGCTTTCCACTCATGCCAATACTTTATCTAGAAATTTCTTACGTTCAAAAAACTAATCTGTTATATAAATATTTAGGATTTTTGAAATGTGACTAAAGAGCTGAAGTATTTAAAGAATTTAAACTCTTTCATGAATTCCCCCCATTTGGATCTCTTCATAAAACTTACTCTATGATCAGTAGCAATAGATTTTATATGCCACTTATTCCATCATCACTCTCAAAAAATAGAGTCCCAGAATTTTCTCTAGTTCTGTTATTTTGCAAATTTATCAGGAATAATAGCTTAAGATAAGGTTAACCTTGTTTCTTCCTTTCAGTCCTATTTTTACTCCATTGTGGTTGTTGAAACAAAATGCCGTAGGCTAAATAGCTTCTAAGCAATAGAAATTTATTTCTCATAGTTCTAAAGTCCTGCACTTTCAAGATAAAAGTTCTGACAGATTCTTTGTCTTAGGAAAGTTCATTTCCTAGTTCCTAGTACACCGTGTCTCCCGACTGTGTCCTGATATGATAGTCAGGGTAATGAGATCATTCAGAGATTTCTTACACATGGGCACTTTCTTTCCCATTCATGAGGGTTTCCTTGTGACAGAATCATTTTCCAAAGGTTCCACTTCCAAATATCATAACTTTGAGCATCAGGTCTCAACAAACAAATTTGGAAGAAGTCACATATATTCAGACCATAGCAAGTTCCATCTTCATTATAGCTTTAAAAAATTTACTTCTAAAACTATCTCTGGGAAACAAATCTTTCAGAAAAAGATCCTTTATTTGCTTCTAATACAGATGTGATTTATGCAGATCTTTATGGTTCTTCATTTCATTGGGCTTATGGTATTTAGGTGTGGCTTATGAGAAGGAGTATTGAGCTTATGTTGTAAGAACACATAAGCAAGAGAGAGAGAGAAGTGAAGAATGTAAGAGGGAATATATATGATTAGATGTAGGTAGTCCTGGTCAGATGCAGTTCTCACCAGCAGAGTACCATTAAGCTCACACTGCAGTTTACAGAAAAGAGTCTTACTTCCCACAGAGGCATGAATAATTCCTTCTGCTTATAGAGATAAGCAGAATATTCATCAGTTATGGACAGTATTAATGTTCCTTCCAGAGAACAAGTAACCTCCAGACAATACTTAAGCTTCCTGATATCCTAAAACAATTATCTTGCAAAATGCCAATAAAGATATGACTGCAAACTTGTATAAATGCCATAAACCATTTGTTATCTTAGGATAAATTGAGGTATCTTCTAAGAGAAAGTAATCCATTTCCTCCACTAGAAGAGTGATGAGTTTAAATGGGTTTAAATTCCAGTCCTACCACACGGTAGCTGTTATATAGGGTAAATAACCTATCTTTTCCCTGCTTTCATCACTCATAAAATGGAGGTAGCAGTGGTATTACCTCATTGGGTTGTTGGAAGAAGGTAACGTTTATAAAGCACTTAGAACAGTGGCTGGAATATTTCAAGCATCCAAATTGTCAACAATTTTAGAGTAAAACCTAAATGTATTTAGTGTTTTAATTTTTTTACAAAGGACTTTTATATGAAGAGTTATAAGAAAGAAAATACTTTGTATGCTAACATGTATCTAGTCACTAATGTCTATTTTTTTTCTATCCCACTTGTGAATTTTTTTCATCAGAATTTCCTAATTTAACACATACTTTCTCAGCATATTTGAAAACTGTAAAACACACCAATTCCATGAGGGTTTATTTCAAAGAAAATAAAACCATAAAAGTTTACCCTTACTATTACTTCTAAAAGCATATTATATTCTTAATATTCTTAATATGTTCACTTTAATAATCACACAAAATGGTGAGAATCTGTAAGAAACCCCCGTTAGCAGGGGAGATTTTGTACATTTTCAACCTTTAGTTATAAGGATCACATGGTAAATATTTAGGTACTAGAGGGAAGCATTTTATTAAACTCTGTAAACCAAGTACATAGAATAAAACTGTATAATGTTTCCTGGTAGTTACACAATAAAAATTGTAGGCTAATTGTACTAGGCCATGGGAATAAGATTTTCCTATTGTTTAAATAATTTCACATAAACAATCTAATTTTCTGGAAATTCATCCACATCGTTACATGCATATCAGTAACTTGTTCCTTTTTATTGTTGAATACTATTCCATAATAAAGATGCAGGAGTTAGCTCAGCCATTCACTCATTTAAAGTTATCTGAATATATTCCAGTTTGGAGCTAGTGTAAATAAAACTGCTTTAAGCATTCAAGTAGAAGTTTTTTGTGTGAGTAAGTCTTCATTGCTCTCAGTTAAGTTTCAAAGGAATCTACTGAATCATACGATCATTCTCTGTTTACTAAAAAAAACTTCCCAACTTTTCCAGAGTAACTTTACCATTTTATTTGCTACCAGTTTCTTTGCATATTTGACAGACTTTGGTGAAGAGTTCCCACCTGCATGTAAGCCCTCACCAGATGGAGCTACTAGATCTTTTACCTCCAGAATCACTGAAAAAAAGCCTTTATTCTTTAACCCCTCCGTGGTATATAGTTACAGCAACAGAAAAATGGACTAAAGCATTAATCCAGTTTGAATTAATTTTTGTGTATAGGTAAGACAAAGGTCTGATTTCATTCTTGTTTATGTGAATATTTAGTTTTCTCATTGCCATTTATTGTGTATCCTTGGCACACTTGCTGAAGATCAATTTTTTGTTTATGCATATGTTTGTTTCTGGGCTCTATATTCTTTTCTGTTGTCCAATGTGTCTAAATTTTTTTTGCCAGTACCAAACTTTTTTTTTTATTACTATAGATTTGTAATACATTTTAAAACCAGTAAAGCCTTGAGCTTTACTCTTTTTGCTTAGTATTGCTTTGCATATTTGCAGTCTTTTGTGGTTCCATATATATTTTAGGATTGTTTTTCCTATTGCTATAAGAAGTAACTGACATTTTGATAGGAAATGATTGAATCTTTAAATTGCTTTGGGTAGTATAGACATTTTAACAATATTAGTTGTTCCAACCCATGAACACAAGATGCCTTTTCATTTATTTTTGTCTGCTTTCATTTCTTTCATGAGTGTATTATAGTTTTCAGAGTGCAAGTCT